GAAGAAAACAGTAACTCCCAAGGAGAACAATGGGTTACCATTTGAGAGGAAACCCTTTGTAGTCGAGCCAGATGGAACCAAACACAAAAATCCATGGAGAAGGTTGTTACTTGATGCATTTCAGTAATCCCCTACCTAGTCCGGTCTAAACCAACCTACAAAGCCTAAAACTTTCAATCGAAAGTGAAGAAATTACTCTCTTGAGTAAAGAATCAAGCATAACCAGTGATAATCGAAATCTTGAGAAAAATTAAACGAAATCCGGACTCGCCGGAAAGAGAATCCGATCTGTGTCGGAATTTTATCACCGGAGATATTGCCGGTGAAAGAGACCGAAGAAGAGAAAAGACAGACGCATCTATCTATAATCTATATATATAATAGCAAAGTTTTCTCTCCTATCATCTAAGGTATCTAGAATGCTTTTAATAATCTCATAAACCTTTTTTTTTCCCTTTACAATAAATCAAAGAGAAAAAGCATTGCTAGCTGCTCACATCCTCTCTTTGAACCGAGGGGAAGCCAAGTAATGGTCTGGGAAGGGATCGAATCGTCGGTTCCAAGAAATAGTCTATAACAGACCTAGGATCGTGTCGGAACGAGTAAATGGAGTACTCAAATGCGAAATCAACCATTCTTATAATGAAATTATTTTTCTTTACGTCCTATGTTACTCTTGATGGTTTACTAATGTGTTCCAAATCCAGTTATTTACTTAAGAACGGATAAATCATATACGCTATACATCCTCTAAAAAGAAAGAGGAGAGAGAAGAGGAAGGCTGGATACATGGAGAAGGGAGCAAAAACAATTGGAAGAAGAAACGTGAGAAAGATTTATGTTTGATATATATATGTAACTGTTGGAACCAATTTTTATTAAAATCAAATGGGCTTGTTATAGACATTTGGGTATAAAAAATGGGTTTAAAATATGAAGGTGAAATGAGATAAAGTTTTTGGGCTAAATGGGAAAGCCCTTATGTTGGTTTAATGAATGCACACTTAAAATGTCCCACATCTAAAGTTTGTGACATTTTGGTAGTGTATATATAAGGGTGAACTTGTGTAGCGTTCAAAACATTACAAAGACACAAATGCACCATGAAGGAACCAAGGGAAGTCCACACGTGCACCGAACCGGGCCGGGCTTGGGCAATTGGACCAAAAGTCCATCAAAGACTATTCTTTTTGGGAAATTTTTTTATTA